TAACTTCAAAAATACTGTGAAGATTTTAATATGCATCAGCATGTTGCAAAAAAATACCAGTCATAAAAAATCATAGTCATATTAAACAAAGCAAAAATGGTGAAATTTGAATATGCAAATGTATTATTTATATAATCTTCTGTATAAATCAGCCTTATATACAAGCCCATCTACAACAGAGTATTTTTTAGAAGCTGCATTAAAAATAGCCACAAAAATACAGTAAACTACTAAGAACAGAGTTCAGTGGCACTTTACCTGTGTGTAAAGTCTTATTAGATGTTTTATTGCAGAAAACTGGAAAACAACTTTTACATTATAATCATACTTATTATAAAACCTAGGTTGTGTGTGTGTGTGTGTCTGTACGTTTATATATTGGTTCAGATTTCCTACATTTTTCAACCAATTTCAACAAAACTTCACAGGACTACGTAAAATTACCTTGCGGTGGTTCTGACAGTGCCAAAAATTGGAAGAACACAATTGTTTTTGCATGAAATCAATTTGAAAACATGATTAAGAGGCATCGCGAGAATGAAAGGGGGACAACTCATATTGAGTTATACTTATTATAAAACCCGGGTTGTTTGTGTGTGTGTGTGTGTGTGTGTCTGTGTTCATTTATATATGGGATCGGATTTCCTACATTTATTATATATATATTCCTACCGATTTCAACAAAACTTCACTTTTTTTGGCAGGTAGTGTTTCTTATTGTCTTGCACACTTTTTTCTTTATTTTTACATTCAGAATGCTTTAAAAATTCCATTTACAAGACAATTGTTTATAATAAAATTCTATTCAATCGGTAGACTCATAACGATTGAAAACAATGTTTTTGTTTGAGTTTGGGTTTAACCAATTAGTAAAAAAAAAAAAAAACTAATTAAGACATGCATGTCTGTCAACCTTAAACAATAATCTTTGCCAATTTTATTTTTCAGTCTTTATGATGGTGGATACTTGATCTATCGCTTACTGTTACATCACCGGGCAACGCCAGGCTCTACTGCTAGTATATTATAACACTATATAATAAAATGATCTCAGTTGAGTTTGTTACATTTGTTTATGGGCTAAGTTACTAAAAAGGTCTTGAAACACATTCATAAATTCATATAGATGAATGTGTGTGCCAAAATCATAACATCTCCAATGCTTTGATATCAAGAGATAAGAAAGACTTCAATAAACACTTTTTATTTTTATTAAGTTAATCTGTAAACTGACAATTAAAAGTAGATTCATTAGTGTTAGCTGCTCATTTAGATAGAGATTTTTTTATCATATCATTTAAAACAAAATTGCAAACAATTTGGAAGATTAGCACAATACAAACTCCACTCTCCCCAACATCTACTAAACTAAGTTAATGTTAGTAATTAACTACACACACACATTACTATAAACCTTGTTTTTAGTTGGTACATGTAATTGAATTGCTAAAATTTCTTATTACTATGAATGTTATTGTCTACATGTAGATAAGTTACTAAAAATAACATTTATAAGAAATAATGTCAGATAAATGTCCATTCAAAATATAGGAGACACACTGGAATAATGGACATTGGCCAGGGTTGAGAAGTCAGAAAGTCGATTTTAAATCCCATTTGAGTTCATTACATTTGTTTATGGGCTAATACCCTAGGGGAATGTTATGAATCCATCTCTTCTACCCCCAGCTACAGATAGATAGCAGGACAGACTGAGTCCTCTAGGAGAAGCAAAACTCTGAATTCACAACCCAAGATGTGTTATTTGGGGACCTTGTGGCACACTGTGCACCAGTTCTCTGTATTTAACTCTTCCCAAAAATGCAGTCAAATCTGCACAAGCCTTCACCACTATAACCAAATCATATGTGCAGGTAGTCTGCCTGTTTAGTTCTAAGAACTGAGCTGCTCAACCTGCATACATCAAAAATACAATGGAAAGATCCTCCATATATATATATATATATATATATATATATATATATATATAATAAAACAAGCAAAAGTATTGGTAAGACCAACACAAAACCTTCAAGTGCCCAAAGAAAATAAACATAAAAGCCAAAACCAATAAATCAAAAGACAAACTGATAAAAAAAGTAAAAAAAAAAAAAACAGAAGAAAAAAAAACACCAACACGTAACTAAGCAGTAAAAGCCAGTCGTCTGTGACTAAATGGACAAGACAGTGCAATTACACTACTCAAAAAGAAACAAAGTTCAAACCATTACTTGAGTTCCATGCTACCACCATCATCAAGAGTTCTGGTCACCTGATGATCATGGTAGCATGAAACTAGAGTAGCAGTTTGTTGCTTTTTCAGTGGTGTCACTGGGTAGTGCATACATGTTTACTGTAGCAGTTATTGGCACAGAAAATGGAGATTATCATATGCACATACACTATGAAAAAAAAAAACTTGCACCAATGAAAAGTGCATATAAAAAAGAAAAATCGAGACGTATAAGCAGTCAATTGCTAATATCTCCTGAAGAGTGGATGGGTCCATCTATGAAACTCTTGAGCTAGGATGCTGAAAGTAACATCAATCAGCTAAGT